TCACGAAGACGTCAAGACGCCGACCCTGTGGAAACAGGCCACAGCTACAGGCCTCCCTACTGTTAATGTTCAATCAAATATGTAACTAATGCCAAGGGGGGTGGAAGGGGACTTATATTCAATGGAACATACAGGTACCAAACAATACTACTGTTACAACTGGGATTATCATCACTGAAGGTTTTCACTGGAACAATTCAGGTTTAACAAGTTACACAAAAAGCAAGACACCTCCTGAGATCTGAGGCGGGAACCTTCCGGCGGAAAGCCCACACCCAAGCCGCTCAGGGACCAGGCCCGAGGAGAAACTCCCCAGCTGTGTACAGGTCAGGCCTGTGAACGTGTCCGAGTCGACAGCAGAAACACAATCTAAACATCTATTATTTACAGCGTGGTCTCACATGACTGCTAATCTGGTACAGGGTCATGGGGAGTCTGCAGCCAACATCTGCAAGCACGATGGCCCAATCGTTTGAAACGGAAATCAACACAAAGGTGCTTATAACCACCAAAATAGTTCACTTTGTTAGCAAGACAAAAGGAGCTACCTTCTAGAACGGTGGGTGTTGCACTGGTTAACAATATTACAGTACCTCACACCTCTAGAGGCCAGGATTCGAGGCTCCGCCCTGCCCTACGTGTGGAGTTGTGCCTGTTTCCTCCCTCGGTCACTATGGGATGTTCTCCGGTTTCTGTCCGCAGTCCAAGAATATGTTAAGGTGAAATGGAATCTCTAAATTGCCCGTAGGTGTGAATGCTGCGTGAGCCCTGCGATGGCTTATTCCCTGCCTTAAGCCCGGAGCTTCCAGGATAGGCTCCAAACCCTGCGTAGGACTAGCGGGTATGGAAAATGGATGGATGTTTCTATAATTGAAACGACCGGGGCGGAGCATTGGTCACGTCCCCGGGAGAAAGGGGGCCTGTTTGTCTTACACTGACCGCCGTTACATTAGGTTTTCAGGCCTCATTACGGCTCAAAATGAATGTTGCTGCAAAGTCACTGCAGCACTGTGTTGTAGCTCTATCATGTTTTTGTTCACCAAGACATTCTACAAATGTCTTATCTTGACAGCCTCATTTCTCAGCAGTAATGTTATCGGATACGCTAATTGCTCGTTACATTTTTTCATGTTTTGCACAGATGTAAGGGAGGAAACCATTGCTTCTACCGGGGGTCATGGGAAAGACCAGCAAGACATTCTTGGGTTATAGCTGCTTGTTATCAGAGCTTGTGATCCCTAAACCCATAAGCTGAGCTGCCCCAACAGAAATGCACGTTTTAACAGTGGATATATATAAAAAAAAAACCTGCATACCGGTTGTTGAAATTTCAATGTCAATGTAAAGCCTGAAATTAAGACAAGTCAGGTCACTCTATTCCACTTAGGTAAGATCTTGTACCTGACAATATTGAAGCAAAATAAATTGTTTAGAAAAAGAAAAAATAAATAAAACTTTCAATGCCTTGCATGCACATACTTTAATTCTTCATGGAAACACCTTTTCATTTGACTTTAGAAATGTCTAATTGGATTGGTCTCTATTAACTTAGCACACCTTGATGTTGCAACTTCATGCAACTTTTCTTTGCCGAAGAGCCCATGCCTGTACACAGACTTTATTAGGACAGTCTACAGATGTTCTATAGGAAAGAGGACCAGGAATGGCCTGGTCAAGACTTGGACAATGATCTTTCCATTTTAGGCCATTTACTCCTTGAATTGATTGTGTGTTGCAGGTTTTCGTCAGAAATTTCAGTCGGGTTTCAGTTCAAGAACAACACAATACGGACAAAAAGAAAGTTCATCCAGACAGCTGCCTAGAGGCCAACAGGAACCGCGAAAGTTATGGTAGTAACTGCCCTTCCCTGCGTATTGCAACCATTCTGGACATTCCTCACAAGTCTGAGCCGTGGAGGTTGGGTGCAAAAAAAAAAAAAAAAACCATCTGATTTACTAGCTGCAAGTTCCTGGACTGCTGGAGGAACACAAACAAACTAATTCAGGAAGTGCCGGCAGCCTCTACAACTCTACAAATATCAAGGAAAACACCCTGGGTAAATAAAGATTACGTAAATCCCAGTGTGTAAATCCGTATATGCATTCAGCATGTGCTAGCATGCTTGCTATGAAGTTACAATCGCTGGAGGGTGGGAGCAGAAGGGCTGATCTGGTGTATTTTTGACCCACCGCCACAAGAGCAATCATCAGGAACCCCGCTCAGCCAAGGGGACACCCCATTAGGAAGAATGTCATGCTATGCTGGGTTATTTTTAGGGAGACCCGCCCCCCACCAAGAGTCGAAGGTTACTTCAAACACGGAGTAATACCTGCTTAGGGGGGCGATGGCGGTTATACTCCTCCCCCCATAACTTGGCTTCCATTTGGAGCCGGACGTCCTCGAAGTAGACGTCCCGGCTCACCGTCTCCATGTAGCGCTTGGCTACATAGTTGGACGCCGATTTCCAGTTGCTGCTATGCGAAAAATTTGACAGCTTCTTGCTGCAGGGAAAAAAACAAAAATAAAATATGTCACTACTGATACCAGCAGGTGGGGAAAATATGATAGAATGCCCGCCTCCCACACTTCAGCTGCCGATCGCCGGCGGGGACTCGCCGCGGCATCAGCCGGCTACGCGGGTCCTGCACTTACCAGAAGATGAAAGTGAGCCACTTTGTAACTTTTACATATATTCAGTATTGCCCAAACTAATAATAGATAAACTGGTCCCTTTCTAAGCAGCATTTTCCAGCTGGCTCAGCACAGACAGTGCGGTCGTAACAGCCACTGCATGCCAACACTAATACAACCATAATAATCTGGGCTCCCTGGTGGGCTAGCGGTCAGGATTTGGTGCACACAGCCAGGGAATGCAGAGCGTGGCCCTTTTGAGAAATTCCCCCTGGGATCAATGAAGTTTATCTTATGACATACATCAGTAAAGATACATGTGTTTCTACTTAATAAAAGACCATAAAAGAAGTGCAAAATCGAGGCTTGTGGAAAGCGGTTCCGAATAACGGTCAAAGCCTTAGTTAGCCATCTGCGTGATCATCTCAACTAATGGTAATTTTAATGACGGAAAAGGGAGAGTCACTCAGCACTAATGAATCACAGAGCAGCTTCCTGGTCTGCTACCTCAGGCAGAAAGAAGGCTGATTCAGCATCACAAACCCACATGGGGCCCAGAGCCCATTACAGGGATCCTTCTGCTCATCTCCAAGTAAACAGCTACTCAGCCTGGCAAGAGACGACAAACTTCTCGGCTGAATCAAGGACCTCAAAACCACATACAAAACTGCTAACATAAACTAAGCGAGCTGGCTGTATACATTCAGACAACTAATGAGGAGTTTGGTCCGTTGTGGTCAACGACACTGGTTCATTAAACAGGATCATAATTATCTGCGTAAAGTGTTGAGTATACCAACTTGTTAATATGAACATCACAGATATGAAGCCATCCAGCCAAACCTGCAGTATCCCTGTCATAGGAGATGGACAAATGGATAATGTTCTCCAAACCCCCTGACTAAAATCTTAAAGTCTGAGAAAAACATAGCAAGGATTTGACCAAAGCTCTGAAAAAGCCTTGATTTTAGCAAATTACATTACCATGAATTTGTTTACTTAACATTTTAAATTTTAGCACTTTAAAGTCTAGCTATAATACATTCTACTCACTTATGCACTTAAAGTAACCATCTGGGATGATTTACGGATAATAAAACGTCTAAAATACAAATAAATCACATTAGCTACTAACCCAAATGTGGTATGAAACATTTAAATTAAGTCAGTTTAAAAAAACTGGAAAAACTTACGTTCTGTAACATTCCCTCATGGCACCCCGTCCAAACGGCTGCAATACAACACAGAAGGAAGCAACTAGTTTTAGAGAAACATCGCTACATCCAGACAATTCAGGCCAGATTGAAATATTGACAACTCATTAACAAACAGGAACCTACCTGGGTGGCCATCTTGATGTAAACTTTGTCCTGGGCCCACTCACCAGTAACAGCACTGTACCTGTCAACCCAGAAAGCAAAAACGTTTAAAAAAAATTTAAAAAAGGGGAAAACAAAAGTCTACATACTACATAGTATGTACTACATAGTAGTATGTAGGTCTCTTACTTTCCAGGAACTGAACTTCACAGGATTCTGTAACAGACTTGCATTTATTTTATTTAGCAGATGCTTGTAACTAAAGCGCCATACATTCTTCTGAAAAAGCAGGACCAGGAGCGACTGGGGGTTCAAGGTCTCGCTCATGGGCCCAGCAGCAAAATCACTCTGCCGACCCTAAGATTTGAATCGGCAACCTTCTGATCACAGTGTCCTAACCCATTGAGTCACACACAAACCAAACTGAACGAGCTTTTTAGTAACATAAAATTAATAGCTACCTCTTTTCCATGCATCACTATAGGCGTGTTCAGATGTGTGTTTATGGAACTTGTCACAGATCTCCAATGATCCAGTGAAATGTAATATTTACACTGGTGATTACGTTTCCTCAGTATCACAATTACGAGTTCTGCACTATGAACTTTACTTCACACTAAAAGAGCAAACAGTGTAATCAGGTCAAGCCACAGCCGGCAGTGAACATCACCCCCCCCCCCCCCTTGTTGTGAAATGGCACTACAGTCAAAATGAAAATAAAGAAGTAAAAACCTGACATAAGACAAAACCTAGTAATAGTTAATTGTATCTTTTAGTCCTGGTTATGTAGCAACTGCCAACATTTACTTTAAAGCCTATTAATAAACTCTTTAGGTCTGGAAACAGAGCTGTGCTTTACTGCATAATATCAGGCTTTTGGACTGCATTTACAAATGTCACATTCTAATCTTATTAGCAGAGACCAGTTTAAAGCATGTGTCTCATCCTCAAATATATATTTATTGTTGAATTTTGCAGTATGACTCAATAACACAGTTTTTTTTAACAAGGGAAAAAAATGGTTTTAAATACAGAGAAGCTGAAATGTGTGTGTATTTCCAGAATGTAACTGATGTAAAGTGAGAGGCCTCTGTACACGTTTATGGGGAGGGCAGACATGCCGGACACGAGTCAGGAGGAAGCAGACCTATATCGGACGCAGGGCTCGGTCTCGATATCCTCCAGGTGGAACTCAGCCCATGGATCTGGCATAGCCCTGGCCTTCTGGATGGCGTGTTTCCAGGCGGCCTGTACGACAAAGAGCAGAGAGTGACTCCGCGGCTCGCCGCCGCAGAGACGCCTTCGCCCCCAAGCAGACCACTCTCACCCCTCTCGCTCAAACCTCTGTCACCCGGTACCATTCCCCCTGGGGCACGTCTCCACATCAACCAAACCACATCGAAGGAATCGGGATGGAGGAGCTGAAGAGGGAAGAACGGACGGACATGCAAGTCGCAGAGACGGGCAGAGCTGGAACATGGAACACGGCTACTGATGGAGGGAAAATGCGAAAGTCAAGAAAAGAAAAAATAAGCAGAGACAACCAAACTATTCAACTGCACCGATTCACGGGGGAAAATCCACCTTTGTGGAAAACATCAAGGTGAAACTGCAGCTTCAATCCCCTTCGTTAATTAAATTAGCAGGAGGTATCTTAGCATTACTCAGTTTTTAATAATCCTAGAGGTTGGTACAATAATGTAATGATACCGATAGCTACAGCCAAAAACTGCAGGTTTTCTAAATCACATTAAGCAGACAGATCGCTTTCCTGCACACCGAACTCTGGAATTTCAGCCATGCATGACATTTTAACTAAAAATATATTTAGAAAGTGTCCACATTGAAAAAGGACACAGCTGCAGAGGGGAACGCACAGCACGCCATACTGATCAGAAAAACAGTGGCGATACAACACAAGGTCTTTAAACCCGTGTGAGCATCAACTCATCGCCTGCAAACTTCTGACAAGGCTTCTGCTCCACGAGGCATTTGGGCCAACAGCTGGCAGAATAAATGATCCAATCAATTGTGATAAGATGCATCTAGGCTGCATTTATGATGAGAACCGCATGTACCAGTGAATGAGGAGATGGCCAAAGTGTAAATGTGCCTCGTTAACAGTTCGTACAGGCACTGCTGGGTTACTTTTTGCTCGTTTATGTTCAGATGTGTGGCCACTGGCAGAATGTTCAGACAAGAAGCTATGGTATAGAGTGAGTAAACGATAAATATTAAAAACGAATATTACAGTAGCTACATCATCCCCAGCACGATGCCTTAAAATACAAAAAAAAACCCACCATACTACTTCATGCTACAACTATATGATACCAGCTACATTTTCTTCTTCAATGGTGAGTTGATGATCCTCTTTTACCACTTTACTGAGGGAGGTATCTTGCTGCCGTGCGCTGTGCCTTTAAGAACACTGCCATTTTCTAATGCACATCATCGTATATGGCGGTCGGCACTCTCCTGTCAACATGACGCCAGGGAGATGGGGTAAACACAAAGGACAGACTTAGGTAAGTGCCATTCTTGGTGAGGAGCATCACACCAGATTCAGATTAATTACCACAGCCTAAACAAGGCTGCAGTTTGTCCAATTTTATGTGGATTAATATTTAAATATTTTACAGGCCTCCTTTCCCGCCTTATACAGATAAACTGACTAGAGATAAGAATGCACTGCAGTGGTATTACCATTATGCTTTTTTAAAAATATAATATTTCTTTTAAAAGGGATTTTCTCCCTCCTACCACCAGCTATTTTTCAGTACTTTACAATTACAGTACAATAAAGGTGTGTGCAAATGCACTATAATTAATAAACACTCCGCAGAAATTAATGAATTACACATTAGTTTGGGAACGAGCCGAATTATGGAAGGGACTTGGCAGAGGTGGAAGCGCATGCAGAATGAGGACTGAGGCGCTGTAAGCAAGGAGGTGAAGGGGAGAGGAGGAGGAGGAGGAGGAGGAGAAGGTCTCCAAGGCAGGAGGAGAACTGAGCGTGACCTACCCGACCTTTTTCGTTTAAAGACCCAAACCTGACTGATTCCTGCTCAGGCTCATCCCCTTTAGTGCTCTACATGGGGGGGGGGGGGGGGAACAGAAAATAACAGAAACCTTTGTTTTATTTCAAAGAATCACACAAGGCATGAGGCTTGCATCTTAGCCCAGCCAGAGGGACCCTCAATAACAGCTAGCAGGTTTTCATTTACACCTTCCTGTTTCTTTAAGAGTGTGACAGCAGCTGATGGGGGGGCCCACCGCCGCCAGCTCCAGCTCCTTATAAGGCATTCAGCTCAGCGCGATCAGCAGAGGGAAGCCCTTCCGCGTCTTCCCTGAGCTGCAGAGTGCGCGACGGCTCTGCACCGCCCACCACAACAAGGCATTTGTATGTGGCCGGGCAGCCCAGTGCCATTCGCCACCACCAGCTCCTTCACTCGCAGGTCAGATGAGTCTGACAGCTGCATCGTGACACGATGACAGCCGTACCTGCCCCTGCACGTGACGGCAGGCCTGCCAGGTCATACTCCGTGGTGATTAGCTGACATCAAAGTCAACTGAAGCACTTATTGGGACAATTAACACGAAGAGGTGAGAAACAGGCCGGAAAGAAAATCCCATCAGAAGACTTCATGGACGATAGTGTAAAACTCTCAGCATTGACACTGAAAAGCAAACCAGCTTGGCATCATTCTTACTCGTATGTCAGCCTCTGCTACCCGAAACACGAGCAGCGAATGACACCAGTTCCTGCTGTGTGACATTTGACACGTAGCATTTAGCAGCACAGTGACACCAGTCTATCCCCTGGGCTGCTGCCGGCTTACCTTATATGTGAAGGAGGTTTTCGGCGGAGTGGCGGAGAGCTGCTTCTCATGGACGAAATTCTTCAAGTAACCGCAGATCTCCTTGGTGGGGCTCATGGGGTCATCCGTAATGGGACATATGTAATAGTCCTCGTCGTCGTCGGTAACGGAGTCGACCCGTGCGACCTTGCCCCGTCCGACGCTGCCCACTCCCTCCATGCTGAATATGAGCTCCTCGTCGGCCATGGTGCCGGCTGCCCCTCGAACGCTGCGAACAGCACAACTGCAAAAAGGCACACAAAAAGAAGCAGTTCCGCTAAACTTGCCAAAATCTTGAACTCCAGTTCCTTAGAATTATGTCTCATGCCATTCCACTACATATAATCTAAAGAAAATCAGATGGCTCTGTAGAGCAATAGCTAGTCAACAACTGGTTTCTCATTCATGGAAACTACGCAGAGCAGCCAGAGTCAACAACGTACGCAATACATACTCCCATAACCCATTTAGCCTGGATTGTAGATTTTAATCTACAAAATTTCTACATGATCCACAGCTCACATCTGTCAGCACTGATGAGATAACTACAAAACAGTATAAAAATACGGTAAATTGAAATGGACTTCTTTAAGCAATAACAAATAATAAAAACAATGCAAGACTCCCTAAATAGCGGCAAATAAAATGAATCATAGCCTTACACTCCCCCAATCTGGTCTTACATGTTTTTTACTGTGCCAGCAGATCGCAGCATCATGCACAAGGCAAACTAGGGTCTGGTCCTACTGGACTTTCAATAGGATGAGTGAAGCATTCCTTATGGCTCTCTGGGGAGCAAAGAACCACACGTCTTCCACCAAACAGGGCTTTTGGGAATGGGGAGAGAGTCCACAGCCCCCATAGCTTCTCTCCAATTTTCCCACCATGTCTAAGAATAGGAGGCAGACCTTACCATACCGAGTAGGACACAACTCATTTGTATTTTAATGAGCTTTGTGGCTGTGGTTAATGGAAAAGAAAAGCAGATTTGAATTTTTCCAAAAGCAGCCCTATCGTATTTCAGATGTCTGCTTGAGGAAGCACTAGATCCTGGAATGGAGTTCTAGCTACAGCTGACATGGAATGGAGCTGTTTAAGACAAATCAACAAGTGACTGACCTGCATGAAGATTTACTCAAAACAAAATCATTAAAAGGGGCTAGATCTGATGGAGGCAGAACAATATGAATCGAAATTAAAATAACTCTTACATTTGCACCAAAGTATTCCGTCCCAAGCCTGAGGGGAGTGTCTCTATATCGTACTCAGGGGCGTAACTAGAAATTACGGGGCCCCCTGCCAAAATGTCACCTTGCCCCATTCCTCCCGCCTCCGCCCCTTTGCAGTATATAATATTATCATTTTATTTATTTTACGGCTCCTGTAAAGTGTTGGCCCTCCTGAAGCTGCCAGGGTATCCAGGGTGTCCATGCCCCTACTGCGCCCCGCAACGTACTATAATCACACCGCTCGGCGATCCAGCTTCCTATAACGAGCGACTGTGAAGGGATGGTATCAGCCCCGGGGTAATTTACTATTGAAATGTCAAGGCAAACCACCGTCCTGCAACAATCTGGCACCACCGAATGCAAAAACTGCTACTGACGTGGCACAGATAGTGAGATATTTGTCATTCCCGCGACCACAGAGAGTCGGAGGGAAGGTCCGTAGCGATCGGCCCATCTGCGGGCGGCCACAGCTTCATCATTCTGCTGTCACTGTCGGTAACGAGATCTACGGTGCTATAATTTATATTTTGCCAAATTCATATCCAATATGCAGTTTCACCAGCGAATAACACAAATGGTCAATTTTTAGTTCCATACACAAAAGAGCGGCCGGCTGGCCATTGCGATCTACATTTTCGAAATTGAAAGGCATGGCGTGCAAACCTGTCTTAAAAGCCTTCAGTTAGTTTCCGGCCGGTGCAGGCATGCATCGGAGTCTGGGAGCTCATTCACTCCTCTTCTTAATGCATCTTCCCGCAATGTGCACGGTTTTTTCTTTTAATTACCGAGTTCTTTCCTACTTAATCATATGAAGGCTGCCAGCGGCGGAGGGTACAGTATGAATGCCGGGATCAGCACAGTCTCGCCTGTTCTCGTTCCTCCACGGGAACATCGGCATTTCGCACGTACGGCACAGGCCGGAGGAGGAGCGTCTGCTTAGCGGACACCCGCCCCTGGGGGGGGGCAGGTTTACATCGCCTCTATCCTTCAGCCGCCGTAAAAAAAATAGACTCTTTGCTGATTTCGTAATTTCGCCGCGATCAGCCTTTTGACGGCCCGGTACTCGAAGGGCTACTCGGCCTACACGTGAAAATCACGCGGCTTTCCGGGGGGCAGAAATCAGGACTCGGTCCCGCCCCTGCTTCACCGAGTACGGTTCGCTTTCATAGGGAAATGGACACATGCAGAACAAGCTGACGGGAGCGCTGTGATGCTGTTTGCCTACCTGCCATATATACCCACATATGCCACTTTTTACGAGGCATTTTCTGATATGATTCATTCGACGAAAAGGCGTTTTTAACGAATAGGCGTTTGACAGTGTGAAAACTATTGTCAGGAAGACGCGCATTTTCTGCTAACTCTGATAAGAAATTATCACTTAATTTTGTTTTATAAAATATACAAAAATGCACCGTTTTACGCTTTCATCATCAGATTTTGTTCTTCGAAGCAATGGGAAGCGGTTTATGCTTACTTGCTATGCTAATCATATAAACTTCCAGCTCATTACTGTAACAATAGTATAATATTATTAATACTATTATGAGGCCCTTTCTTAAGTGGTATCTCAAGGTTATATATGTTATGGATGAGTGTTTTTGATTGAAGGTAGCGTGGCCGAGTGGTCTAAGGCGCTGGATTTAGGCTCCAGTCATTTCGATGGCGTGGGTTCGAATCCCACCGCTGCCACATGTCTTTTCTTACTTTACTTTTGAAATGTATTACATAGTAAAATGATGATGTGTTTAAAAATACTAATGTTGGCCGTGACTAGCCGTGGCTAAACACCGAAGTTGGTCCCTGGGATGTTTCGACCTGGAACTTGTGCAGCTCCTGGCCACCCTCATGTGTTGCTATCACGACACACAAAAGGACCTGGGACCATTATGCTAAACTAGCACGAAACGATGCAAAAACTTAGTAGGTTAAACTTAACACATAATTTGATACGAATCAAAACAATGGAGGATTATAAGTCGTTATGTTAGTTATTGGAGGGATCGATCACGATCATGACGGGATCTAGCCTTTTATTTATATTTTGCTTTTGCGACCCGCGCCATGTCCATGATTCATATTATTGACTCTTTTCCACAGAGTAAAATTTTGGTGACCTGATTGGACGGCTATTGGCAAAGAACCGGCTCTCGACTTCTCTTTGTATCACTCCAAGTAAACCTGGTTGCCTGACTTCTGGTATTTGGAAATTTTTACCGCCAGCAACGGCGAAATTATACAAAAGTAAATTGGTCAGAAATATGAAGACGCAAACAAAAATGTATTCATTGATTGATTACGTGTAATTGGGGTACAAGCATAATTCCATCAGCTCAGTTTTTCTCCGCTACATCTCTTTTTCTGTACTTTAGCGCGCCCTCCAGCGGACTTCAAGTTTCAAAACTCCATCCCATTGTGAAAGTCACTATAGAAGCCTTAATAACGCGCACCGTTTCTTCATTATCGAACAAATCTGTTGTGTGCATGATAAAATGATAAAAAGCCTCGTCGCACATTTAGTAATAATGGCTCATTAATAAAACAATATTATACAGGATTAACAAATTTGAACGGACAATAATGGCTCAGTAATGATGCCTCAGTAATAAAACAACATTGCATTATGCAGGATTAACAAATTTGATGATACCCATCCAGTTTCAAAAATCATTTATGGAATTAAATTGGAATCACTACAATCCCTATTTCAGATGGAATATGGTTTATATACAAGCAGCTCCATTGCTATGTGTACTCAGGCGGGCAGTTCCTCTTATTTCACTGGGGGGGTTCAAACCCGTCATTTTAGTTTGTGGATATCCCATCTGTCACAAACTTTCCGAAGAAAGATTGTCATAATTTGTTTGTATGTCTGTGTAGATTTAATGCACAACTTTCATAAAAGACTCCGTCTGAATTTGGTAAAAGGCATATGTAGACAATAGGGACAACTACAGTGGACCAGTAATAGATAAATTAAGCCTTTTTTTTTTTCCAAAATACATAATGATACAGTTCACGCACGTAGGTTTTGTCTATTAGTTTGATTAGAGAAAGACAAGTTTATAAACACCAAATTTATAGTCCAATGACCACTTTTATCAGAACGATGCAGGTCTGTCTAATTCATGCAAGATCCCGGCCTATTCCCTGGGCTCACTCCTCCACAGTACAGTTGGCTGCAGTGCTAAATAACACATACAGACACAGTTGCTTCTTTTAGCTATTTACATAACAGATGGTTAAAGGGTTTTCTGTACTGTTTCTCAGAAATGTGTGGCAGAACATGTGGTATTACATAAACCTTACTCTTTTTTTTAACCAAAACTTATTCTGAATCACAACTACCATGGTCAGTAATGGTAATGACTTTCACCATTTCACATGACCCAAAAGTACCAAAAAAATACATATCCTATGGATAATTTACTGAGATAGTAAAATGATAATCCCAAAGTGTGAGTGGGTGTACATTCATTTGTACATTATAAAGCTGGACATTACTGTCCTGCCAACCAAGACGCGAACACCAGAAGTCAGGCAACCAGGTTTACTGGGAGTGATACAAATGAGCCGGTTCCGGGTCTTTGCCAATAGCCGTCCAATCAGGTCAGCAAAAGCCAAAGCGCGTTCCGAAGTCGTGGTCAGGAGATGAGAAGCCAGGGGTCGGTGAGCCGGGAGATCAAGCCGAAGACGTGGATGACACACACAGGTAAGGACACGAGGGATCTTACGGGAAGGGCAAGAGGGCTGGCAGGAGGCGCGGGAGGTCCGGGAAGGGCAAGGATGACAGACCGCAACTGGGGAAAGAATACGAAGTCAGACCGCTCAGTACGTGCATCGCAACAATACCTCGCATATAATAATTATTATAAGTCAGACATGTTCCCAGTGCGGGTTGGGCTGCCCTTTGTCATCGATCCTGTTTATAATATTTTTGGACAGGATTTCTAGGCACAGTCATGGTGTTGAGGGTGTCCAGTTCGGTGGCCTCAGGATTGCCTCGCTGCTTTTTGCAGACAATGTCGTCCTGTTGGCTTCATCTGCTGGGGACCTCCAGCATGCTCTGCGGCAGGGATGAAGATTAGCACCTCCAAGTCCGAGACCATGGTTCTCAGCCGGAAACGGGTGGATTGCCCTCTTCAGGTCAGGGAAGACGTACTGCCTCAAGTGGAGGAGTTTAAGTATCGGGAGCTGGATAGACGAATCGGAGCGGCGTCTACAGTTTTGCAGGCGCTTAACCGGTTCGTCGTGGCTAAGAAAGAACTGAGCCAAAAAGCAAAGCTCTCGATCTATTAGTCCATCTTCGTCCCTACCCTCACCTATGGTCATGAGCTATGGGTAATGACCGAAAGAATGAGATCGCGAATACAGGCGGCCGAAATGAGGTTTCTCCGCAGGGTGTCTGGGCTCTCCCTTAGGGATAGGGTGAGAAGTTCGGATATCCGGGAGGGTCTCAGAGTAGAACCGCTGCTTCTCCACGTCGAAGGGAGCCAGTTGAGGTGGTTTGGACATCTGGTGCGGATGCCTCCTGGGCGGCTACCCGGAGAGGTTTTCCGTGCATGTCCTACAGGGAGGAGGCCCCGGGGAAGACCCAGGACTCGCTGGAGGGATTATATCTCTCGGCTGGCCTGGGAACACCTCAGCGTCCTCCCCGAGAAGCTGGTAGAGGTTGCTGGGGAGAGGGAGGTCTGGGTATCTCTCCTGAAGCTGCTACCCCCGCGACCTGAACCCCAGACAAGCGGTAGATGATGGATGGATGGATGGATGGATGGACAATGAAACTAAAACATGGTCTATATAGTGTTTTAGATTTCATGTTTCATGTGCGGCCTGGTGGCCAGTCTTCACTGATGGCACATCCCATTAGTTAGAGAAAAGTGTGAAGGTTGAATTAGCAGAACAACAGTACAGTTGTACATATAATATTGCAATTTACACAACATGATGGGAGACATATCAGAGTTCAAAAGAGGACAAATTGTTGGTGTGTGTTTCTCTGGCACATCTGTGACCAGGACAGCAAGTCTTTGTGGTGAATTGAGAGCCACGGTATCCTGGGTAATGTCAGCAAACCATGAAGGACGGACCACATCCAACAGGAGTAACTGTGGACAGAAGAGAGAGCTGTCTGAATGGATGTCTGGGTACTAACCTGGATTGTATCCAAAAAACTTCTCACCTCACTGCAGTATTAAATGCACCTCGACTCTTCTGTTTCCACCAAAACGGGTCTTTGGAAGCTCCACAGGGTCAGTATTCATGGTCAGACTGCTATAGCCAAACCTTTGGTCATTTGTGCCGATGTCAAACATCAGCTTCAATGGTGCCAGCAACATAACTCTTGGGCTGTAGACAATATGAAAGATGTATTGTTCTCTGGCAAATCCAACTTCACTGTCTTTCCTACATCCGGGAGAGTTACGGTGTGGAGAAGTCCCAAAGAAGCGTACCACCTGGATTATTGCATACCCAGAATGCAGCACGGGGGTGGATCACTGATGCAATATCATGGACAACACACCAATACACACAGCAAGACTGGTGACAGTGGTTTGATGAGCATGAAAGTGGAGGTGAACATCTCCCATGGCCTGCACAGTCACAAGATCTGAATATTACTGACCAACTTTGGGGTGTTTTGGAGGAGCGGGTCAGGAAACGTTTTCCTCCACCAGCATCACATAGTGACTTGGCCACTGTTCTGCTAGAGGAATGGCTCAGAATCCCCCTGGCCACTGTGCAGGACTAGTACCTGTCATTCCCAGGACTAACTGATGCTGTATTCGCCACAAAAGGAGGCCCTACACCAGGGGTGGGCAATCTTATCCGCAAAGGGCCGGTGTGTATGCAGGTTTTTGGGATAACCTGTAGGTCAGCTGTTGAAACCCAGGTGTGAGGACTCTTCAGCCAATCAGTCCTCTAATTAGTAATCTAATTAGGGAGTTAAAGCGAAAACCCGCATACACAGCGGCCCTTTGCGGATAAGATTGGCCACCCCTGCCCTACACCATACTAATAAATTACTGTGGTCTAAAACCAGGTGTTTCAGTTTCATTGTCCCACCCCCGTACATTGGCAGCACAGTCTAGTCTAGTGTGCA